CTAATCTAATCTTGATCTAAAGTTAAGCATTAATAAATAATACAAATAACGCTAAATAAAGAAGGAAAAAAAATTTTTAATTTATCAATTATATCAACTTACTTTTAAATTTTTTTAAATCTTGCTGCAGAGATCATAAAAATTTGTGCATCAAGTTAACATTTTTATTAACTGTTAATGGACTCACCCCGGAAACCCGAGAGGAGAGAAGAAGACTGCAGCGGCGGGCTCTTTCTTTCTTTCCTGACTCGGCGGGAAGGGAGCGACGGAGGGACGGAGGACGAGTACAGGGGGTTGGCCGTGAGCGTCGTAACGTCAGCGAATCCCATCGTAGATAATCTTCGACTCATTGTGCCAGTGACAAGGCAGGCACACACGCCGGTGCGGGACACTCGAGAGGAACGCTAGGGCGGTGTGTGTTCCCTCGCGCGAGATATTTTATATTCCCGCGACTGCCGCGCGCGAAAGCCACGGCCGAAGATGACACTCGAGGTGGTACGCCACGCCCTAATTTTTCTAGAATTTCTGTCATCTTCAAGGATAAGTTTAGAAACGAAGCGCAAGAAATAAGTTGTAGATATTATAGTAACACAGATAATAAACAATACAAGAATGCGTATTTCGGAAAAATATACAAAAAGGCTGTAGAAAAAGTAAAATTTTTGTGTATAAAAAAATATATTATTTAGTACGTTACATTTTCAGATTTCAATGAAATGAAAAAAATATATTATCCTCGTAATCGATATACACTTTTATTTGGATTGTATATGAAAATGGAAGATGAGAATAATCTCATTAATAATAATTATAATATTGTGATAATTTTTATAAGCGTAAAATTATAATTTTAATTTCTGTATGTGTTAGAAATAATTTAAAAAATACATAAATATTGTATATTAATTTTAAATTTTGACAATATTAATTAAATAATTTTAAAAAAAGTAATTTTCTAGAAATAAAAACGTATAAAATTATGATTTGTCATATAAATCACTGAAATAAGTCTGGTTACTCATTAATAATTGTAACGCAAAACATTAAATTCTTTTTTATCCATATATTCTACAATATATAGAATTATTTTTACGTGTTGAAGCTTTTCACCGACTTTTCAAATAGATATAAAACATGAAAAACTATCTTTAGGAATTACACCGTGATGGAAACTAAAAAAATGAAATATATTTCGTGCGTCGATGTAGAGACCTTCGATCGTGTAGAGAAGATACGTTAGGGGAAGGCAACATTGAAGGTTGTCAAAAATTTCTCATCGACGCTAATTCGACGCGTCGGCCAGCACACACCCGGAGGGTTATAAGGGAGATTTACGAGCGTACGCGATCGACGAAAAGGGGCTCACGCTCGATTGACTTTCGAAAATGGGCCTGGCGCGAGAATCGCGGAGCCATTTCTCGCGAGTATCTATGCGCGTCCGTCATGAATGGGCCCTTCCACGTTCAAAAGAGTCTACTCCACTCGCACGTGCACGCACGTCGTGTGTGTGCGCGCGCGCGCGCGTGTGTGTATGTGTGTGTGTGTAAACACATCTATCGTGACATAATTCACGAATTAATGAAGGCGTTTTAATAAGTCAGCCACTTGTTTTCCCTCTCTCTATTAGATCCGCATAAAAACGGATGTAAGGAATGCAGAAGCGTTGAAAGCGATAAAATTCTCGCTCAGTTGGGAGGAATCCGCCGACAATACCGCGCGAGGCTCGCAAATCGGCGGGCAAAAAGCGAAGCAGTGAATTAAAGAAACAAATGGAGTCTGAAAAGAAGGGCGAGCGCCGCGCCGCGCCGCGCCGCGCCGCGCCGGACCGGCCGAGGGGGTGGCAAGGGAAACGCGAGAGTAAATTGTTAAACGCGCTTCTCAAATGCCGGCTCTTAACGAGCGATAATAACTCGCGCAAATAACTGGCACGTCTTTAGAGGGTACTAGTTTCTGCTTTCTCCCCTCTCCCTCCCCCTATTTCTCTCGCGTCGTCCGCTAGGCGATTGTGTGCGCGAGCACGAGAACAGTTGGAATTACAGTTAGCCTCCTCGTCGACTCTCCGTAGACGACCGAGCGCGTATCCCGGGGGATGTGCGTGTGTGCTCGTTCGTATTATAGAGCCGGAGTGCAACGACAGGGGCGCGCGCGATACTTACACCTTTAGGCAGCCTTTAGGTATTAACCGCGCGCGCGCGCGCGACCAAGGGGGTGCGCTCAAGTGGGCATTCGGAGTTCAGAGGACGTGTTTTGATATTGTAACGTTTGTATTAAATATCAAGTCGGAAGGGTGCCGCGCCTGTCTGAACCTCGGCGCCGTTTATTAGGACTTCATTAGCCGTCCCTTGATCCCTTCTCGCTTTCTGGCCCTAACACCCTTTTCCCTGATGCATCATCATCCATTGCGCGCGGAATTTTTTCCGAATTTTTTCGGAAGAGTAGATTACCGAAGGGACGTCGTTGTCATATAAATCTTTAATATAAATTATTAATATCT